GTGAATCCAGTTATCAGGAGATCCTGGTATGTGGCATAGCACTGTTCTTTGCTTTGTTAGTTGTGGAACCACCACTATCGGGTCCATGTGAATAACCCAGTCAGTGAGAGGAAACCCCAGCACAACGGCCTACCCCAGGGCTCTGCACTAGCACTCTTTTTTCCAATGCTCTTTTTAACTTGTACAATCAGTGTTCTGCCTAACAGTCCATCCTGTAATGACATCTGCTTGGATGCTGAGACTTGATTTTTTTCTGACCCTAAGGAAGTCTTAAATTGTGATCTGGCAATTATACCCAACTACTGTCATACTAACTGGCACTTGCACCTGAATGCTTTGAAATCAGTTTCATGGGTTTTCCACTTCAGTGACACTTCTGCAACTTGGGAACTCAATGCCTCCCTTGGTGGATACACCTTGAAACACAGTCTATACCTGGTCTACTTCAGCATGATTCTTCATAGATCTCTGGCTTACTGTGGCCATTTGATAAAATTGGCTGTCAAAATTAAGACCAGATACCATTCAGCTTTGCAAGCTTGCACAGCTACCTGCAGATATAATACTTACCCTCTTTACAACTCTCCCTGCACTCTCTGATACTTGATAGCAAAGTATTGTGTTCCAATCTGGATCCTGGAGCCACACACTTGGTTAGTCAATTTACAGCTCTGTCAGACCATGTGCGTCCTGTGGTTCATACCTCAGCCCTGACTGCCTTTAGCAAGTAACCACACTCATCATGAAGCCAAAATAACAGCAAAGGTCAAAAGCTCACCTGACCTCATCTGAGCTTACCTGCAGCTCTTTAACCCTCCTCCAGTTTGCCTCAAATCCCAACATTACCTACAGTCAGCTCAGCCATATCATGTTTTCTATGTGGCATCTTGTTGGCCAAAAAACAGTCACTGTTAGCAGTGACCAGCCATTTTCTTGTCAAAAACCTTACCACTTGATGGTCACCTCTGGATAACTTGCACACTGATAAAGGCCATGGCCACTGTCAACTGATCCAGATGTGGTTTACAGTTCAAAGTGTTCCAAAAATGTGGACAGATGCAGACTATAACTCATATCATAGAGCAGCGGTTCTCAACCTTTTGCACCTTATGTCCCAGTTATGTAAGGTCAAAAAATCCTGGTCCCACCAGTCCCCCAGCAGCTGATCGAAGTATGCAAAAGTGAAATCAGAAGTCCCGCTGTGGCACTTCCAGTTTTGCCACCATGACACAAAGCCCACCTAGAGGACCTTCGTATCCCACCAGTGGGATGCATCCCACTGGTTGAGAAACCTGGCATCTAAGCAGCTGATATTCTGACGACAAGAACGCTGAGCCTTGGCTTAGCCAGATACATATATGCTAATAACAACATTAATGGAAGAATGAAAGTGGCAAATAACAGCAGGATTAAATCCTTAAAAGCAAAGTGGCCTGAGCTGTTACTTAGTACTAAGCTCTTTTGAAAATCTCCTCACTGAGGGCCTTCAGGAAGCCTTCCTGCGGCTCAGAGTAGCCTAGTGAAGAAACCTTGTTATTGCCAAAATTAGATAAACTAGAAGCCAGTTTGTTATTCTGACTAATCTAATATGAGCAGATTTTTGCATAATTATACATCAGTTTCTTGTATACATGTAAATAATATGTGCCTCAATTCAAATTTAAAGGTTATCAGGTCCTGTAGTATGATGGCATGGGGCAATGGCATGAACACTTTTCCTCCCATCTTACTAGTGTGTCTGGTGCTTATTGTTCCCCTAGATTTCTAGATCTGTACTGAGAAAGAAATACTGAGAAACCACTGGTGCTGAAAATGAAACTGCCCATTATTGTAAAAACTCTGATTGGTGAATATATACTATATTTTAAAGCAGTCAGTGTGGTAGAGGTGATATCTTTCATCAGACCAACTATTCCTACTATATTTTGAAATCATTCTGCGTAGCTAAGCTTTGGGAACATCCTGTCTGTGAGAGACATTTGGAAGCAAGCAACGTAATTGGGAAGTAAATGGGAAACATCTCACAAAAATGGCTTTGGAACCCATACAAGTATTCTACTAACTGTAAAGGGATGACTAGTATTTATAACCAATGAGGCAGATGATGATGGTAATAACAAATACATAGTTCTTATTACTTGTAATAGTAGATCTCAAAATGCTTTACATAGAAAGTCAGTTAAAAGAAAAAGGGGTGTGTGAAGTAACTTAATGTGACCTAACTAGTTTTATAACTGGGAATTCTATAAGTTTCCATAGAAGTATATTCCATTGCCTAATAGATCTTCTAGTTAAAAAGTATCTTGTGAGGGAATTTTGATTAAATATGTACAGCTTCAGCTCATTTCTCCTTCTGTCACTTTTGGTTAATGAAAACAATTTTTCTCTTTCTCTTTAAATTATGAATGGCTTCTAGACACTGCCACTAAACAGGTTTTAACATTTATATATTGGGAAAAACGTCAGAATCAAACCTTTAATTGCAGTCCATTATTGCAATAAGTTAAGGCATGTAGGCAACCCGTGGCATGGGTGTCACAGTGTGGCATGTGAAGGCATTTTGCTTGGCATGCATGTCTTAGGGCAGGTGCTAGGGAAGGGGCCGGGACTGTGCTGCCACAACATGGATTGGGTCCTTTGCAGTTCCCCCACCGTCTGCCCCTGACATGCCAACATCTTACAAAGTGAGATTGTGGGTCAGCAACTAAAAACGTTGCCAACTCCTGAAGTAAGCCCTTTATAGCCATAAGACTAGATTCAAATTGATAAACTAGGCCAAACATAGTGATCTACTCATTAGGTGCCTAAATTCATTCAGTGCCTATATTTCGATCTCTAGGCACCTACATTTCCATATATATAGGAAAATCCCATTCTGAGAGGGTCCGTGCCTTACTTCTGCCTTAGCTCCACTGGAATCCAAATATGAGAAAGTGGTGTAGAAACCCTGACAAGTCCCCAGAAGGGCCCAATGCAACTGTATTTAAAAATAGGATATTTGCATCCTACCATACATTTCACAGATATACAGAGTACACAATGGGCCCCTGCATTCCCCAAGCTCTTCTTTGTGTAGATGACAGTACCTCGCTATGGCCATCCTTCACTTCTCCCTCTTTACAGATGTTTTTAGTGATTTTGGTCATAGTGGGTTAAAACCTATTCCACTTATTTGGTGCCTATGTAATATTTAGGCATGTAAATATCTAAGGTGGACAGACCACTTCTTATGATTTAGTCTTCAGGCTAAAATGAGGGCATGTCACAACAGGAATGTTTTTTTCAGGGACTTGAGCAGGGTAGGATGGGATAGCATTAGATATTTAAGTGTAACTTAGATACCCAACAGGTGGAAAGATCTAGCTTATCCTGGACATTTTTACACATGCAAGTGCCACAGCACCAGGTGCTCTGAAAAGGGCCTGGTGCTGAAACACTTGCAGTTGTATAAGCAGCAAAATGCACATCAGCGCTGAGTAAATGGTAGAGGCACACTTTTGAACTAAAATACATGGAGGTGCTTTAGTTCAAAAGCGCACCACTGCCACTTTCTGTGCGCTGACATGCATTTTGTCGCTTATACAACTGCATGAGGTGCAGCGCAGTTCACTTCAGCGTGCATGCGGGGAAGACTTGATTAATCGAGTCTGCTTCGAAGCAGTGTGTCTCCAGCGCATCACAGGACAGAAAAGTAGATGTATAAATGCCCAAGGGAAGTGGACCCACTGTGTGGATGTTAAGTGAGATATAAATGGTTTATAGGCCATAGGCAGTACTGTGTATGGGGTAATTGTTGAAGAAGGAATAATTTCCATAACTTAGTTCCCACCTGCTTCTCTACCCCCATCTCCTGTTATTCTACCCTTGCCAAGGACACAATTGTAGAACCAAAAATTAGCTTTATAAAAGTGTCTACTGAAGAAGAAAACTGAGTCAAAAGATAAGCCCATATTTCTCTTCCTTTTCAGTTTTTACAATAATTAACTCTAACCACGATCTTCTCCTTCCTTACTTATGAGAAAATGTACCTGGCAGCCGTCAACTATTTTTCATAATAACTATTTTGTCAGTTTCCCTTAATTTGCTGAATTCAATTTTCTGAACTCTACACAGAACCATACCTTATAAAAGAGCAATAATAAAATGCCTCATTAGTCTGCTTTCTTTTGTTACTTCTATCTAGGCAATGCCAACTTAGAATTCAGAGTGCAGAAATGATAATTAGTGCTTTAGAGACTGTGGAGCACTCTGAAATATTTTGCTTGAAGGGCACTCTAGAAATTCAACTCTGAATTGTAATCTTTGCTTGTGGCCATAACAGAATACACAGTTACAGTTTACTCTTAAAGCTTTGTTGTTATTATAAGCAAAACTAGCAAGGTTAACAGGCAGCTACTTCTAAAAAAAAAAAAAAAAAA